GCAGATTAAAAGCAGAAGAAAAGTAACAAAAGAAGCCAAAACGACTCCCCATTTTAAAGGGGTGGATTCGTTCAATTTGCATGTTTTCTAAAATAAGGAAACAAGGATTTGTTGGGCTAATGGATAAAACCTCAATCACAACGCTATTTCTGACATTCTTGAAAAACGGTCTTGGATGGGAAGAAAAACGTCTTCAAACTTGGAAACAAAGTCCAGTGGATTGTTTTAATTTAGTTTTTTTGATTAATCTGCTTTATAATAAGAAACAAAGTTCAACAAGTGAATGATATGAGTAATTAAGCCAGTCGTCAGCGCCAAAATCATGACATCACTTAATGTTTTTAAATTTTATATCAGAATATTTCAGTTCAACGCATTTTAAAACCACAGTCTACCAAACTTGCTGCCCTTCAAGCTCCCTGCTTCTCACATGCAGAAAGAGGAATCAATGCGCAAAAACAATCAAGATGAAATAGAATCAGTTATGATAAATAGAAATTTGATGATAGTCCTGTTTTTTGTTATTCTTTTGCTCATCAGGAACTGTCATTAGTTTTTCAATCTTTTAAATGTCAAGAGTCTGTGGCAGAGAAAAATGCTCCCATGAAGAAAATGGAGCAATCATCCATGCAGGGGGGGGGAATAATGTAACTGTCATATTTGAAAAATGTCTCTTTTCATAGACTGGTGAGAAAATAGATTTTACCATTAACTTAAAAAAAAAAAATATAAACAACCAACCAAAAAAGGACTTTTGCACTTTTAGTATTAAACATGATGGATAACAGAGCATTTAAGCAAAAGAAAAGGCAAAACAAAACCCCCAGAATCATTCCTGTTTGAATTATGTATAAGGCTGATCATTTCTCACTGAAAGCATTACCTGTGTGATTTAAGGAAACAGAGCAAGAAACACACAAAATCAGTCATTTAAAAGGCCATTTATATCACAGACTTTTTTTTACAATCTAATACAAACTCATACACGTACATGTCACCACCTAAAACACCATTTCTAATGCAATAAACAGCCACCGTACAAACACAAAATAAGAGTTTGCTTGCTTAGGAGGGGTTATGGAGGGAGCCCACACACTCGTAAACATCCAACACACGCTCGCACACACATTCTTATGAATAAGCGTAGATAATACCGAATTTAAGAGATGTAGCAGTAAAAAAGGGCATGTGGAGGGAAGTTACTTACAGTTTACAAGGAAGGAAAAGGGGAAAGGTTGCCATTCAGAGTGCACATGAAACACGTTTCTTTTTATTTTTTACAGTTAAAGGAATAGTACACCTAAAACATGATTAGCCTTCATTTTCCACTCACCCCCATGCTGAACAACACTCTGGAG